TTTTCTTGTTAACTAGATTGTGCCCTGACTTGGTAGTTTTGATGTAAATTACTAGTTTTGCTAATAATTACCCTAAGCAATTATCTACACCAAAACCAGATGTATTGTTGCACAACACTAAACTCAATACAATTCTTTTAAAAACAAGGGAAAACATTCAAATGTCCCTTTCAAGCCCCTGTAGAGGCAAAGACAAAACATTTTCTAACATGAGTGGGGGAAAAAAACAACCCATACATGTTTTTCTGACTGCGCTGCTAAAAAAGTCAAAGTATTTTTGCAGCAGGAATTTCTGAGTGGGTGTGGTCGCCGCGGGGCTGTTTGGGGCTGGACAAAAACAAAGTCACTGCTGCTTTCCAACCCTCCCACCCAGACTGCCCCTCTGTTTTCCTCTCTCTGCCTCTGTCTCTCCTGCTTTCCCCTGTTTTCGCTCTCTGCGGTGGGTCGCCCGGTGATGTCACAATCAAGAAGGCTGAGGCGACCTCTCGTCGTTTCCGTAATGTGGAAACAGACTCGACGCACCATCTCATTAGGGGAGTTAAAAACAGAGCGGGAGCCGCTTTCGAATAAGGACGCCGGCACACTCAAAGTCTGAGGTTGTTAATTGTTCATATATATATATATATATTTTTTGGAACATTTATGGTTCCGCAAATGCCATCAAACCCACTTCATTAAAAAAATAGCAGTCACAATATCCACTGAAGTATTTTCAGCAGCATTTACAACACGCCGTTAGGTATCCCGCCATGGCAAACTGTACTTTCAGAGACGCATCGGGTTGCGTTTTTGCAGCCACGCTAGATGATGACTCACTACACCAACAGGCCGACTTTAAATGTGAGCTTCATGTGTTTAGATCTGAGGCGAGTGTGTCGGGAGGATTTTTGGCAACTGCTGGTGAAACGAGGGTCAAAATTAAAACAGTATCAAGGGCGAGAGCCAGATCGTCCAGGAAGGAGAATATTTTTGAATGAATCCGAAACCGTTGAGACGTTTGCCTCAACGTACACACACTTTGCAGCTGTAACAAGTTACATTTTTTTAAGGTTTTCCGTCATTTTTCGGGACGTGTTTGTGAGTATTTCGTCCAGAAATCCATCTGGACGGTCAGACAATGACGTTACAAGAGGCAGGAACCTTTTATAGGAAGAGCTGGAAACTGATTGAACTGGAAGCAATATGTGAAAGGAGGTGTGATTGATGGCATGGGAAACAAGTTATAGTGATTAAGTGTACCCAAAACAGCTAGAGAGGAGCTCAAATGGAGGAGCTGGAAAACACCAGGAGAATACGAGGTTCAGACGAAGAACACCAAAACAAAACAGAGCATGACTGAGCACCAAACGAAAGTACGAGGCTGAGAGCCAGAAAGCAACAGGTGAAAAACAAAAAGTATGCATGTTGAGCAATACAAAGCATAAAGAAACTACACTTGGAAACCAACGCGAGGAACGTAAAGTACAAAACAAAGCTTTCAGAATGAGCCCAAAACCATTTTCCAATTTCCACAATTATACGGTCAATGGAAACGCTTCGAGAGTCATGTTGCTACAGGAAAGTGTAATCCGCAAACGGGTTCCACGCAAAAAACCCTCCAAACAAACAACATAACGGCCTCCGCCCACCTGACTTTACACTCGCCATCGAGTAAGGTTTATCTGTCAACTGACATTGAATTTAGCCAGATAGTGGAGCATGATTATATTAGACGCTTTCTGTTGCGTTTGGCAGTCTGATGCTTGGATGGTCGAGGAAACCTACTCCACAAATCTCTCCAGACTCCTGTCCTCTTCAGTGCGCTGTTGTTTTAGGTCTGCATGCCTAGGTGAATTTAAACACTGGCTGCCATGGTGTTGACTGAAACAGGTCGACTTTATTCCTCGCGTCGCAATTCATGCAGAGTGATCTGCAGGTGTGCCACCTGATTGACCAGCACCCCTCAACACTGTTGCTACTTTTCCCGCAGCCACAAGCATTGCTTAAAATGCCAAAACAAACGTCCTCGTATTTTAGTATCACAAACGTGTTCTCGAAGACGGGGACGTAATTTATGGTTTGTCTCTCACGACTGAACAAAGGAGATGTAATCTTTTCCAGTTTTCTCATCTCCTGTTATCTGCCGTTTTCATCAGCTGGGAAGAGGCCGTGGTTGTGCAACAGCTGAAATGTGATATGCTGAACGAAACGATTGTTACAAAATTCATGTGATGAAAGAAAGGGGAATCCATCGGCATCTCAAGATGCAGGCTGCTGCTGAAAGGAGAAATACTGCCAGGAACATCCCCGAATTTTGACATAAAAATGAAAACAACCTTCTGGTGAAAGAGTTGGGATAATTAGGAAAATCAATGCACATCTGTCAGGGGAAAAACAAAGGCTTGGCACCACTTAAGCAAATTAATAAGTGATCCCTTCAGACTCCTAAGCACAACATGTCCAAACAATGGGCGCCTAATTCCAAAACAAAGAGAGTGGCTGACAGTTACGTAACAGAGACTCTCTTTTCGAAGTAAACACCTGATAAGCTCTCTGTCATTATGTTTCTCTAAGCTGTAGAGAGGCATCGCTGTATGTGTTGTGCTGCAGCAGAAATTAGGCTGAACGTTATGAGGTTGGCTGTTTGGTTTAGTTTTTAAAACAAAAAACCAGCTGGCCTTAAGGGAAAGCTGCATAGAGACACTTACGGAAGAAATGTTCTTCTATTAGTCATTGGTTTGCAAATAAGTAACGAAGGCTGCATTTCAGTGAAGAACTTCATTGTGAAAACAGGATTACAAAACATGACTAACTCAAAACGTATATTTTCTTAAAACAAAGAGACATAATTATTCTTGTCACATGTTGAGATCACATATAACCTAAATAAAACAGCAATCAAAAAAGGCTTGAACAGTCCACCCTTTAGTTTTAAGCTCCATAAAAAAAAAGAGGGGCGTGTTGAATGAAAGCACACAAAAATGTATCTCTTATCTCTGATCCCATGCCCGGATTTCAGCCACTGATGCCCAGCATGGTGACCTGTATAGGTGGTCCTCGGCTGAGCCAATAAGCTGGGCGGCTCCAAAAGGCACAAAAGCTTTGAAACGATAACAAAGTCACCTTTTCATGCTCTTCGACTTTGTAGTAAAGGAAACAGGAGTTCAGCGATATGTTACGGCTCTTTGTGGAGCAGCAGAAGGTGGAGGAGGACACACTGACAGGACGCTCTGGTGAGTTTGGACAAAACTGCAGATTGGAGCAGAAAGTAACAGAGCAATCCAAAAGAAAGTCCAGCATATGGCCTATCTCAGCGGGACATTTCGTCCTGAACCACAACTCCCCCTTGAATCTGTGGTTTCCCTGTTTTCTCGGAACGCACTAGCGCTCCCTGCATCCTTTGCTCAGGAAATGAACAGAATACAGTCAAAAGGAAACTAAAGAGACTTTGCTGTTGATGGCAAGTGTGACAGGGAGCAATCTTGAAATCCCTAAATCCCTGTAGCCGTGTGGGTGTGCATCATTACATTTCTGACGTGTTGTCCGTTATGTCATTTAAATTACAGTCTCCCGAAGCCCAGACTTACTAAATCACCAAGGTGATCTGGTCAAGAGGGTTGAATCAACATTACATCTCGTCTTATGCCTACAGGAAGCAGAATGTTTTCATAGAAACCCCGAGTCTGTATCTCGAAAGGATAACGGACATTTATTTACAGGCTCTTGAAAGTGGATAAAGTACATTTTTAAAATAGGCTCAGTAATGTGTTACTGAAAACATGCAGGAGAAATCTACATGCATGTTTTCTGGGAAGCAGAGGTTTGATTTCCAATAAAAATTCAACACCAACTAGCGCTGAATTTACTGTTCAGTCACGAGTTCAACACATTTTAGAAGCAGTGAGTGTTTTTGAGGATTAGATTAGAAGTTCAATATGTTTGTTTCCTATAGCAGGTAAGATTTAAAGTTTGCACTAGTATGCCATCTAGTGGTCTTTGAATGTATTGTCTTATGCAATCAAGCAGTACGCTCAACCCCAAGTTAACAAGAAACAAATCCTACTGAAAGCATGTCCATTTGGTGTACTACTGTATGTGTAAACTCATACTTGAGGCTGTTGATGCTCCTTTTGGTGTGTGTACCTGCTGCAGCATAGCTGCCTTCACCTCCTCTCCGTTTTAAAATGTCCTGGTTGATGGCTAATAAAGAACAATAAAGAATGAAAGAAAAACTTTGGTCAGACACCATCGTGACGTGGCTCCCCAGATAATCGCTGAGTATAGAAACTTCACACTGGACCTCCAGCAACTCGGGTTTTGTGCCATCCCACTCCCCAGAGTCTGTGACACTGATTTTCCAAATGGAATTTATTTCCTTCTTTGCATTACCTACAATATGTACGTATAGCTATAATCTAAAAAAAAATTTCAGTGAAATAAGACAGGCTGAAGTTCATTCATATTTTTTTTTTTTTGATATTCCAATTATTTTGGATGCATCTGAAGATCTGCCCTGTCTCAGTGTAGCTGAACTTATTACCCTCTGCACCATCTCCCAGGATCATTTTTCACCGTCTCTACTGTGAACGTCCTTGTATTTCCTGTCTTGTCTGGTGATTTTGTGAGGTCAGAAGTTTAGGTGAAAACCAATCCTCCCTGGGGAAATACTGTAGTCACGAAAGTACAGGCAGCTATTTTAAAACTCCTCGATAATGACGAGGCACGGCTGGAATCCTGGACCGACGCTCTTTCATTGGAAACCTACCTCCATTGCTCACGTGTATACGCCTGCACAACCACTGAACAACTTACAAAAAGACTAATTTAATCATTTAAAGGATATATCCTGTTCAATTCTTTTCCTCTGTCAGGTTGAAACAACTTGCTCCTGTGTATCTTTCTCCAAATCCAGTGTTTATTAATAAACCTAAACATTTCTGGGGTCGTCATGGTCACACATAGCAGCACAGTGAGTGCGAGGGAAGAAGGAGGTCGGCTCAGCTGTCTCTTTCGCCCTCCCCTCTTTTTAGAGTTCATCCGCACCCCGTTCTCCCGCTCATTCCCCAACCGCTCAGCTTTCTTTTGTCATCTTGACTTCAAACTGTTCAACTCCTTTCACACATTTACCATCAAGAGACGTCACACGGAAAAAGGACCTGGGATATATATATATGCTAATTGTAAGTACAGTTGAATTACGATTTACATTTGGTGATTTGATAAAGTTTGGATTTTGATGCTGACAATGTTCTACTACTGCAAAGAAAGAGGACAAGCAAAAAACATATTTTACAACTTTATAAACATTCAATGAGGGACTGTTACTTGAAAAAGTTTACATTTATGTTTACGTCAGATGTGGGTCATTAGTCCCTCTGGGTGCGACAGCCTCTTGTCCTCATCTGTGCTGCAACAAGACAGATGGTTGCTTTCCTATCCTGCTCAGAGTTTTCTTTTTGTGAAACTTAAATGTGATGCTAGCCAATAGAGCAGATGTTTTGAACAAACTAGAATCGACTTGAATGTATCCACAAAGCAACGTGGTGTTGGAAAATAGCATCGTGCCCTTTCTGCCCACCAACTTCTGCCTTACAGACACAATTGACTCAAAACACTACAATATTTACTGGAAAACACATTGTGTCTATAGATAGACACAATGACATGTTATGCTATTGCTCCAGGATGCATGCAGTGCCACTTGCTGGAGTTTCAGAGCTTCAAATCCATCAGGCTGGCGTTCGTACCCATGGCATTACAGTGTTTATATGTGAAATCATGAATAGGCCTGCTGAGGCATGTCCAAACATTCCAAAAGCTTTGACGCCTGGACACCTGCCCCCTGACAGGACAGCTGTCAGTAGCATGCCATTTTCAAAACTGCTTTACTCCACCGACCCAGAAGTCCCCATGGCATCACAGCTTTCAGCGTCTCGCCATATTAACCTAACCCCTCCGTTAACAGGTCATCAGTGTCAGTGAGGTATGTCACTGGCATGATAGAAACATCTTCATAAAATAAGTACAACTGAACAACAGTTTGACGTAATAAATAGAATGTTCTGACATTAGTCTAAAACACGAGTCAGTGCAAGATTATACGAGAACCAACATTTACTTTGTAAAGACAAAAAACAAAGAGTATGAAAACCAAAGAATTTGAAGTTCCTCAGAATTGGAACTTTGGTGATGCTTTCTGGACATCTCTGTGTTACTTCCAAAAAGAACCAAAGCAGCAAGGACGGTATGAAGTCAGTCTATCACTGTTGCAGTTATGAAACACCAAGCAAGGTACTGGCAACAGAGGAAGACGTATGTCAGGGTAACCTGGCTTCACAACTCAATAGAGCAATGCAGCGTTGATAGGCACTGATATGATTTAAGGTAAAAAAAAAAAAAGAAGTGGCAAACTTTTAATGGAGAAGCATTCAGAATTCATCCTAATAGGTCTCACTTTGTACTTCCTGTAGATCTGTTAATGGCTTAACTCATGAAGGCTCACATGGGATATGGTTAGCTAGATTAGGTCCACCATTGACTACGCACTGGCAACTGTCTTAAATATTTTACCTTCTTTCTCGCCATAGAAAATAGGCCACAAACTGTTCTGAAATTACCTTGTCTTTGATAAGGTCTTAACAGTCACCTGAATGATCCAGAGAAGCAAAAGAGCAAAAACATCTGCTCACACAGAGGCGTTCCTGCTTGCTGACAGGGTTGATGTTTTTGATTGTCAGTGCTTGACCCACTGGAATTATATGAAAGTACAAGTCAAAGAATATTTTTTCTGATTTGGCTCATATTTTCACAAAAAGACAAACACGTCGACTATACAGTGTTTCTTACCTTTCAGATGAGGTGTTATTTACTAAATAGTAAGACTTACTGATAACCAGGTGATTGGCTGACCAGGCAACCTCAAAAACTGGAACTTTTTATTGTGATTTTTATTGTGTGCCTGACACATTTAATTTCCTGAGGGAGTCTTTAATTTCCTAAGGGAGTCTTCCCAAGGTATCAATAAAGTACAAGTCTAAGTCTAAGTCATTCCTTGTTTCTTGTCAAGGGTTGTTACAGGACATAAAGAAGATCACTTCACCAGAACAGAGTAAAAGAACTTGGCTAATCCAATGGAAGACCAAGAGAAGGACTTATCTTCTACTGGATTTGGGCCACTCTTTATCAAAGAAGAAAAGGGGAATACAGATGGAAGCATCGTGGATCAGAGAGATGGTAACCAAAACCCCGAAGGGCAAAATTGCACTGGAAAACCGGGTAAACAATCAAAGCCATACATCCAGGAAATGGACGTCTTACTGAAAAGTTGTGAAAAGCTTACAGGTATTCCTTTTAGATCACGCCACATTGAAGGTTACTCAGAAGCAAGTTTGAGTAAATCCAGTTGGAATCGAGGCAAAGAGGAGGTCCAAACAGAAACCCATGTCGAAGCACGCAGCTCTACTCAAGACAGCCATTCCTCCTGCTACATTGACACAAATATGGACTGGACTGAAACAAAAACCGAACAGGCAGAAAGGCAAAACTTAGGCACAGTAATCCACAGGCATGGGACGTCTTATCACTCCGAGATGCCACTATCCTCAGTAGGCAACAACCTGAGTGCCAGCATGCTGGAGTGTGAGGGCCAGCTGTTGGGGATGTTGGCCATGCTTGAAAGTTGCATGGAGGAGGCTGGCATGGAGTTCGAGCCACAACATCGGGTAGGAGATGCAGGCCAAGACTATGTGCACATCAGAAAGGATCCACAACATCCCACTGGAACAGCCCAGATGGAGGATCAGCCAGAGAGCCAAACACTGTTGCCAATGAATGCTGATTCTTTTGGCAAAGGCAATAATGCTTCAGAGGCTGGTGAGATTGGAGAAGCAATAAATTCTGCAAGAAAAGGAAGTCCACATGATCATTTGGTTGGTTGCTCAAAGGAGAGACCAGAGAGGCAAAGTAATCTTGAAGTAGATCTGAGGCATGACTTCTTGTTTTCAGATCTGCAAGTGCCTCTGGAGCAAGCAAACCAAGATCCAAAGTTCTGTGGGGAAACAAGCACTGGACAAAGGTTCAATGAAGAGATTGGGATTATAGAAGACATTGCCAAGGCAGGAGTCGATGACACAAACATGACTGAAGAGAGACATAAAACTGATCTTGAGTCGGACATGAATAGATTGAGGTCTCAGATGGAGGACTGCATAGAGGAGGTGCAGCGGTTAGAGAAACGGAGAAAGGAGTTACTGTTGGAGGTGCTGCGGCTGAGAGGGCCCAGAGACGAAGAGGAAGTGGAAAGGGGAAGCAGGGACGAAAAGGAGACTGAGGAGTCGATTGACAGAAAAGCCGTGAAGCTGTTCACTATTCTCAGGACAGAAGAGGAGGGAAGACGAGAGGAGAGAAAAAGGGAGATTCAAGGCCTCAGGGAAGAGAGGGCAGAGGAAGAGAGGAAGACATGGAAGGTGAATCTGGAGAGACAGGGACTGCAAGACGAACTCAGGAAGCTGAGGAGGAAGCTGTTTGCTGTGGCAAGGGACTGTGCCCAGAGTCAGGCAACACTAAACAACCAGCGTTGTGATATGGAATTACTGAAGACGGAGGAGGTAATACCACCACCACCAGGAGCTGTACAAGCACCACATCTTTTAGGAAACATTGGGTAAAAAAATGTTTTTTATCTCCATCTTTTCCCAGGAAAAGTTGAACTATTTGGTGTTGCAGCTGACAGAGGAGACTTGCCAACTCAGATCAGACCAGCAGGAACAAGTGTTGGCACTAGAAGCAGAGCTTCACCGCAGAAGCTCCGGACAGACCTCCAACACTCAGGAGGACCTGACTGAGTGCAGGAGGAATTCCTGTGGGGATGTCCAGCAGTACGTCCAGGGTGGACTGAAAGCACTGGAAGACAGGTGCTGTCACAGTCATTGAATGCTTCGAGTGCATGAAAATACTCCATCCAAATGATCTATTTTTATTAAATTACTGCATCTGAGTTAATAAAATCCTTATCAAATATTGGCATCAAGGGCAGTGAAAGTACTTGATGCTTCAGCAACCGATATTTAAATTATGGAAACCTCCCAAATATTGTATTTATCCACTCTTATGCCATTCATATTCTGTGTACATTGACACTGCGGTGACAATTTTGAGTTGATGTATTGCTCATCTAGATATGAACCCATTTTGGAGGCACTGCTGAAGAGAAAAGAGGCAGCGGCTGGTGCCCTGGTGAAAGCCAAAGAGCAGTCCCAGGAGCTGAGGGTCCAGGTGAAACCTCTGAGGGAGGAGATTCTGAAACTGCAGCTGGAGAGGACCTGTTTGGAGGAGAGACTCAAACTGACCTACAAGCAGAGGCAGGAGGATGCAGGTCGCCACAAGGTAGGCAAACTGTGCTTTTTGAACATCTTTGAAAACTGGTGCCGGCATTCCCTTCAATGGATTGTCCAATCACTGCCCTCTGACCCCCTTTTCAGGAAGCTGTGCGTTTTCTGGAGGAGAGAATCCGAGAGCTGAGGACAGAGCTGGAGATTCAGAAGAGAAAAACAAAGGACATGGAGGAGTTGAGAGAAAACCTCACCAAGCAGCTCCTGCTTTACAGGTTCTTTGTGGTGTTTTTGTCAGTTTCATATTAAGGATTTGAGGATGTAATCTACGCTTGTTGTCTTTCTGTAGGACACCAACCGAGGTCCACCACAGCTGTGATCAGCAAGGAAGACCATGAGCATGCTTTTTTTTGGGGTCGGAAAACAACCTTGTCATTTGTGTTGTAATTTTGAATTTGTGAAAGAGAGTGAGCTTCATAGATTTCAAGTATGCACTTTACTCAAATTGTTTTGCTTGTAAAGGATGACGCACCATGTAGGAAGGTTTCTGTTTCGAGTAAAGGTCTGGTGTTTCTTACAGTGCGAGTGCGACTGATGACTTAATGTCTCTCTAAAGAACAGAGAGTGCTTCTTAGGCTTATAAGGGCAAGATTTTTGGAGAACTAAACAGTGCGGAACAAATTAATAGAGTGAGTGCGCTCAGGAAACAAGAGAGCACCAATGTGTCAGGACAGGCACTCATCTCTACGAAGCAGAGACAAAGCTTTCGGTCTTCAGTGTTAGATTAAAGACTTGTAAGCACATTTGCTGGGTTAGTAAGGTGCTAGTACAGCTCATAACTACTTAAATGGAAATGTGAACAAGTAGGTTCACTGGCTGCTTAAGGAAATTCAGTAAAATGTGGACTATGTGCAACATTAAAATGCCACTAGATGTGTGCTCTGGATTTTAGCTGGATGTCCTTGATGCACATCCAGCTAAACTATAGTCATAAACTCTAGCGTTAGTAGTGCTTATATGGAGCTAAAACAGTTTTATAACTCAAAAATGCACAGAATCCTTACCTCATGTCTGCCTACTTGTCCTTGCAGAGTTGCGAGATGCGTGTGCTGCCACCTTCGACCCCTGCAGCTTTTTCAGTAAATCGGAATTTTCTCTTTCAGTGATGTCTGTTTAAAAAAATAAATAAATTAGACAATAAAATATTTACATTTTAACAACATTAAGTACTTTACACTTGTTTTTAATCGTGTGAAGCACTTTAAACTGCTGAAATGAGCTCTGCAAATATTTGGGGCCTGCCATAGAAATGTATGGCAGGCACCTATTGTTCTTCACCTCAAGATAATTGTCGCTTCCGACTACCGTTAATGCGGCCCGTACCGCTGCACGCCTCACAATACATATATTAAAACATGCGGCTCGGTCCCCTGAGGGGAGCTATTACTTTTGTTGGCATTTCGAGTAACTGTGGCAACATAATTAACAAAAACAACGAGCCAAATTCAAGTCAAAACAAAAGACTAACTGACACAAAACAGTGTCAGTTCCACTCAAAATAGACAGAATTTTGTCTCCCTCTGACCTGCTATAGAGAACTACAGAGATGGCAGAATGTCAGAATTACAAACATGGTGGAACAATTGCTAGAAACTCATTGCATCTCTGAATAGCGTTGTTTGTTATATCTTACATGCATATCATCTAGTGGTGGTAAAAGCAACAAAAAAACCTAGTGTGCTCTGGACTTAAGATGGGGTAAATGCACACATATGCATGACATACCTTTAAAAAAATGGGGTGTCCGTCATGTAACGTTGCCTGGCCATATCTCGTGACCTCTTCACCTTAACTCATACCTGTCTTCTTCGTTCCTTTGACTCTAACCTCCTGACACCCATGAGAAACAAACGACAGCTTCTGTCCCCGTCCTGTCCCTCTGTCTCAAAGTGTCAGGAACTCCAACTAGCTTCAAATCACCACTCAGTCAACCATCTGGTCTATCCACCAAAACCCCTTTTCAATTTTCAGCTACTTGTTTATGTTGTCTGTCATTTCTATTTTCTTGCAAAGTCTCTTTGAGATTTCTAAAAAAAAAAAAAAAAAAAAAAAACAATCCTATATACGTTTAATGCATTATTAGTAGTATTTTAGTTATTATTAGTAGTAATTCTTTTGAACACGAGTTTTTATGCGTTTGTTTGATTGTTTTTGCTTTTGACCAATAAGATACACAGAGTTTCCGGTTGTGAGAAGAGCTTTTATCTTAAATAAGGTATTTGTTATTTCTCTTACTTGTTAGCCATGTTTGGTATATTGAATGGAGTAAGTCAATTACACACAACATGCTAATGATGGTCCACATGCTGCTGACAGTGTTCACGTTAAAATGAACATATTTGTAAAATTAGCATAAAATTACTAACATGGTTGAAGTCCATGTTGATCATTGATGCTGATTTTTAGTATCAGAACGCTGGGTCCAAACCGCTGGGCACACTTTGGCAGGTCCCGGTTAAATTTCTTCAGGAATTTTCTAGTTTTATTTTCATTGACTTCCACGTGCAACTATACGTCAGATCGTGGATCTATGGCAACAAACATTTACTTGTTGGCGATTTGTTCGCCGTTGAAGTATGCGGCCTTCTGATTGGACGTGCATGAAAACACAGTCCTCATTGGCTTACGGCAGGGCGGGCGGGTGAACTCAACACCTCAAGGCAGGAAGTAGTTTGTTTGCTAGCCAACATGGCGGTGGTCGTGTCAACAGTGAGTTAGGGGGGCTTTACGTCGTTATGTCTGCGGCTGATATGTCCGCCGTGTTGAACATCCTCCGGTCTCTGTATCGGCACGTCCGGACGCTGGAGGAGTTCGCTGGCAGCATCGAGTTCAAGGAAGGGAAGAAGCCGGTTCTGGTGGAGCAGTCGGACTCGAAGCGCTTCGAGACGTTTGTCAGAGGCGTGTTTGTGTGCTTTGACAAGGAGCTACAGCAGAGTCCCAGCTGCAGCGAGGTGAGGTGAACTCAGCAGCTGCATGAAGACCCTCTTCATTCTGCATACTGACCACTGCTGGAAGATAATACAGTGTCTTCCAAAAATATTCATGCACTTTGACCTTTCTCTCCATGTAACAACTACACGTTTTAATACTTTTGGTGTAATTACACAGCACAAAGTAGTGCATAATCCAAAAACAGTGGGTACTTCTAAATTCACTTAGTTGTCCTGGATTTTATTGACTGATTATACAATAATTTTATTTTATTGATTATACAATAATACAATAATCATTATATAATAATTATTAGAATAATTATACAATTCTTGTAAATTACAGTAATTATTATACAATTATTGTATTATTATACAATAAGGAGGCTCAAATTCACACTTTTGAGATTAACTAAATGTATATGTTTTATAATAAAGTGTATTTTATAGTAAAGCTTATTTATTATAATAAAAATATGTACAAATATACATTTTGTTAATAAAAATCTCACAAGTGTAATTTTGAGCCTTCTTAATATACCAGCCAATAACACAGCTTCATACAGAGTTGCAAAGTTCCCCACTATAACAGGGCGTTATGTAACTGTGAAAATAAACAGTACTTTTAGAAAGTGTTTATATTCTCTTTCAAAGTGGAACATAAATATGTCATGTTTTTGATGCAAAAACAACCTCAAGCATATTATTTTTTTCCTAATAATGTTATTTTATATTGGCAGATTTGCACTCTCCCAGAACTCCTGGCTTTTGTTCTCAACACCATGAAAAGGAAAAGAAGAAGAAACGTCCTGGCGCACGGCTACACCCTGCTGGCCCTGCCGCAGGAGGATCGGGACGCAGACCACTTTAAATTCCAAGGAGACGTGACCCAAAGTGCCGCCTATATCCATGGCAGTGACCTGTGGAAGAAAGTCACCTTGCGCCTGGGCACGGACATCACACGCTACCTGCTGGAGAGCTGCTCCGTATTCGTGGCCGTGCCACCTTCATGTGCTTTCCAGGTGTGCGGCGTCCCGGTGTATGACAGGGTGTCCACGAGCGTGCCCTCGAGTGGGTTTCATCTTCAGCCTAGACTTAGGGGGCGCAGTTTGTCTCAGTTTGGAAGAGATCAACGATCACTGCGCTTTAGGGGAAGACAGAAGGTTGAGAATGTGTCTCAAAGCCAGATTAGGAGAAGAAGAAAGGAAAAAGGGAACAAGAGAAAAAGAAAGAGGGGACTCGATCAGCTGGAGGAGACGGGGACGTCCTCAGGAAAGAGGAGACGGTTAGCAAACACAGACAGCAATCAGGAGCAAACGGTTGAGGAAAGGCAGGCTAAGTTTGTGGAGACAGCAACGTCGAGGAGGAATGTGGAAAATGGGACAAGTGGTTTCAAACAGACAATTGAGATGCCATTGACTGAGGGTGGTCCCAGTTGGCGGTCAGGGGCTTTTCCTCCTTTGCCGCCCTCACAAAGTTTTATCCGCACGCTGGGATTTCTGTACGGCGGCAGAGGCCTGCACGGCTTCCTTCTCAACAGGAAGAAAAAGAGCAGCGATGGATCCAGAAGGTTACAAGGGAAAGACTTGATACGAGTCGTCTTCTTTGAGGGCTTGATGTATTTGAACGGTTTAGAGAGGAAACCGAAAAAGCTTCCCCAGAGGTTCTTCAACATGGTTCCCCTCTTTAGTCGGCTGTTACGACAACACAAGAAATGCCCTTACAGCAAGATCCTGCAGAGAATCTGCCCTTTGGTCGAAGAGCATAACACGGGACCCGGAGAGCTAAACTCCCTCTTACCTAAACACTGTGCGCCCCATAGGGTCTTCCTGTTCGTCAGAGAATGTCTGTCTACTGTGATTCCGCGAGAGATGTGGGGCTCGGACCACAACCGGGTTCGTTTCTTCGCCAAAGCTAGGGTTTTTCTCCACAGCGGCAAGTTTGAGAGGCTGTCGCTGGCTGAGTTGATGTGGAACATGAAGGTGAATGACTGTGACTGGTTGAAGATCAGTAAAACCGGTAAGTCAGATATGCTACTTTTTTGTTATTGAAAGGTTGAGAGATGTCTGCAGTTCATTCAGACAAAGCTTCTGTTACACGCACCGTTTAGTCTCTAGAAAGTCTGCTTCATTTGGGGAGGATTGAATGTGCAATTGAACTCTGATGAGGACCTAAAACCAAACTCTGGTTTGCCTAAAAGCCGAGGTCTTGGTTTGGTTGAAGTGAACTTTGCCATTAAACTCTGATTGGTGCGGTTTTAGTTGTGGTTCGTGTTTCTGACATTCTGAACCGGCTCGTCTTACTTGCAGGTCGAATCCCACCCAGTGAGCTCGCATACCGGACGCAAATCCTGGGTCAGTTCCTGACCTGGCTGCTGGATGGCTTTGTTGTGGGTCTCGTCCGCGCTTGTTTCTACGCCACGGAGAGCGTGGGGCAGAAGAACGCCATCAGGTTCTACCGACAGGAAGTCTGGACTAAACTTCAGGACTTGGCTTTCAAGTAGGTACCGAGGTGGTTCTGTTTACACCCGAGTTTGGGATACAGAACATATAGCTTCATTTCAAAATAAAAATTTATTTTCACAGAGGTCACCTATCCAAAGGTCAGATGGAGGAGTTGTCTCCTGCTCAGGCAGCGTCTCTCCCCAAAGGCACCGTCGTCTCCCGACTTCGTTTCATTCCCAAGGCAGATGGCATGAGGCCCATCACACGAGTTATAGGAACGGATCCCAAAACGAGGGTACGCCGGGAACTTTAGATACCTTGTCTTAGGGAAGTTGCAACACTAATTCCTCGTGCAGTTGTTCCAGGGCCGGGTGCGGGACTTGCTGGACATGCTGAGGGCCTGCGTGCGCTCCACTCCATCCCTCCTCAGCTCCACTGTGTGGGGGATGACGGATATTCACAAGGTGCTGAGCTCTCTGGCGCCAGCCCAGAAAGACCAACCGCAACCCCTCTACTTTGTCAAAGTGAGTCTTAACATCTGATGGTTTAGTTTTTCTCTCAAGCTATTGAGAAAAACCTGTTTTTGTAAAATGACAGCCAGAGAAGATTTGTACTGCTGTCTTATTTGTCTAACAGGTGGATGTGAGTGGAGCCTACGAGAGCCTGCCGCATGACAAACTCATAGAGGTGATTGGCCAGGCCTTGTGCCCCGTCCAGGACGAGCTCTTCACCATCCGCCGCTATGCCAAGATCTGGGCAGATTCCCACGAGGGCCTGAAAAAGGCCTTTGTTAGACAGGTGCCGTTATTTGAATTTGTGGATAACTCCGCTATGTGACTCTTGTAATGCTAGAAGGATCATTTTATGGTATAGAAGGATATACAGCTACTTTATGTAGTTGGTTTACACCCAATGCTCAATCTAATATCATAAATATGAATTGAACATACTTTTGTCTCATTTTGCAGATTTTAATCAGCCACTAATCCTTGCAGTAAAAAAAAAAAATCTTACCAATTATGTTTGTTTCATCAATCTTAGCAGCAGTTTTTATCTACGTTGGGTCTCAACTTTCACTTTTCATTTTTGGGGAAAGAAAATGTCTGTCTTCCTTTGCTGCCATTTTTGTTGCCATAGGCAGACTTTCTGGAGGACAACATGGGATCCACCAACATGAAGGGATTTTTAATGTCGTTGCAAAAGAGTGCAAAACTCCACCATGCCATCCTCGTAGAACAAGTAAGACTTGGATTACAATTTGAAGCCCTTTAAATACATTTTTCCACAACGTTAACCTAAATTTTTCTCCGTTTTTACAGCATTTTTGCTCTGATCTCCGAGGCAAAGAAGCTTCACAGTTCTTCACCCAAATGCTAACAGGCAGCGTAGTTCAGTATGGAAAGAAGTAAGTCATGCTTCTCTTACTAAACGTCCTTGTTTGTTAAATACACTTGTTCCAAAGCATGACCCTGCGTGTTGCAGGACGTACCACCAGTGCCGAGGGATTCCTCAGGGATCGGTCGTGTCCTGTCTGCTCTGTTGTTTGTGTTACGGCCACATGGAGAACGTTCTATTCAAAGACATCACTAAAAACAAAGGGTAGGGCAGAAACGTCCTGTTGTGGTCCATCTTCTCCAGAAGGGGGCAGTGTTTCTGGATCTCACTTGTCTCCTTGGTTCTCAGGTGTTTGATGAGGTTGGTGGACGACTTCCTCCTTATTACTCCAGACCAACATCAAGCTCAAACCTTTCTGAAGTACGGCTCATACTTGGGAAATCTAATTTTAATAAAATATTTTTTTTAGCTACGTTTGTTCTGTTTTTAGATAAACACTCACACATACTCAAATGAGTCTGAGCTTCAACACTGTGTGCAGGACCTTGCTGGCTGGAGTCCCACAGTATGGTCTAATGGTCAATCCACAGAAGGTGGCGGTCAACTTCCAGCTCCAGGGAAGTGTGGGCTCCTGTGCGGGCATTCGCATGTTGCCTGCTCACTGTCTCTTCCCTTGGTGTGGGCTGCTGCTGGACACCCACTCCCTGGACGTCTATAAAGACTATTCAAGGTGAAATCTGTCGTCAGTTGAGCCATATACCTGCAGTCTGTTTGGTTTAAGTTATTGCGCTTTTTGCCTTTCCTTTATGGTTTCTTGTAAACTGTGTGACCTCTTCCTCCATGCACTTTGCACCAACTCGTAAATGACTCCCATGCTAGTATGGAGGATATTTTTCCTGGCATACGGTGCTTTGCAAAGGTTTTTTTTTTTTTTTAGATAATGAAATGCACTACTTGTAATGTGGCACTGAGTTTTGTAGCAGGGATTTTGCAGGTTTCAGAAACTCAAATTTAAGACCTTTTAAGGTTGCTTTAAGACTGTTATTAATAAAATTCAAGACCCGCGTCACGACAGAAATGTGCCCAAAAAAAAAAAATTACAAATAAATAAGTTGTATGGTTTGGACATTTCTCAATCAATAAAATTTCACTTACCCATGATGGTCATAACAAAAGAAGCCAGCTAGCTAGACGTATAGCTTGCTCTTTTACATTCATCATGGGGAAGTGCGAATTTAGTGAGGGTATGTTAGTAGCTAGTTACTGGTTACCAGAACTGCCTCAAGTCTGTGAGGCGAAGGTGATTGCTCCTCACACAGTTTTGCGTCACAGTAAAGTCCTGCAAGAAAAAATATAAGCTACATAGTATATATGGTTCCATAACAAGTTTAAGACCTGTGATCAACCTAAACAAGGTCAACTTAGTTGTTTTTTATTCAATACATTTAAGATTTTTCAAAGCCTATGTTGTAGAAACATGAATTCATGATTTTTTTAAGGATGTGTTTACACTTCTTGCACACAGGTTTTTGTCACTTTATTACGTGCTTTAAGATTATTTTTTTACCTCCAAGGTTTGAGGGGTTTTTTTTAACCTCTTTTAGTATATATATATTTCTATCTCTTACAGCTATGCTGGACTCTCTCTACGGTACTCCCTCTCTCTGGGTTCTTTCCATTCAGCCGGTCACCAAATGAAGAGGAAGCTGATGGCCATCCTTCGGCTCAAATGTCATCCTCTCTTCTTGGACTTGAAGGTTGGAGATGAAAAGACCTCGTAAAGGTTTATCAGTGTTAAAACTCATCTGAGATTTCTACTCTGATGCATGCTAGAAAAATGTGCAGCCAGTAAAAAGCTTGGACTTTTTCTGTTACAGCCAGTTTCGACTTTAGGAGTCACACTATGCTGGATAGATGTGTAGAAATCTGTATTAATTTCCTTAATTTTGAGAGATCTGCGATTGGCTGATGCTTAATATTGGCTTATCAGATTGGTTTCTTCTCTACCTCCGCCATTGCCGGAATGCAAATATTGACCGATCTCCCTAAATTCACCCCAAAAAATGCTTCATAAGTAAGACACCAGTAGACCTCATCCAAGTCCACTTTAACAGCAGTGAAATTACCGGGCAAACTCTAATAACCAGATCCATCCCACAGTTTCACATCTAAGGGGAAAGCCGCCGTTCTCCCCTTTAGACTGCAATCAGTCGAAACTCATCCACACCCACCATATCGAAGAACGTCGAGGTGTGAGTTTTTACAGAGCGTTGGACTGGTCGGCCAGCAACTGCCATGAATTCAAACCAACAGGTTTGACTCTCGGCACGTTGTTGAGAACTCGACTTACAGAACTGCACAGAACAAGAAACGTACAACATGCAACAGAAATACTCGCAGATGTCAAAATGTTTCTCTCTCTCTTTTTGCTTTCGTGCTTCAAAACAATCATGTCGTTTTAGACCAACTCCCTTGAAGCGGTTTACAGGAACATCTATAAGCTGGTGGTGCTGCATGCATGCAGGTAAAAACGACTGAGTTGCGACTTTCTTTCTGCACTCCTGGTGTTTTTGTTTAAAGCCCCATAAGATATCTGTGGCCATCTCTTGCCTCCATTGTCAGAATTTCTGCATGTTAAACATTTCAGTTAGGAGACGCATGACTCGCATGCCTTCCCATGTAAACCCACCAACCTCGACCTCATAGCCTCATTAAGATAATACTGATACCACACTAAACTGATGTTACTCAATATCTGCTCTGACCTGGAACTTAATTGCCTGTCTGTCAATCCCAGAACATACTTATCTAAAGGCGACGTGAGTTTTATTTTATTTTTTTTCCAGGTTTCATGTGTGTGCACAGAGTTTGCCCTTTGGTCAAACAGTCGCCAAGAATCCGCTTTACTTCCTGCAGATGATCTGGGACATGGCTCAGTACGCCAATAAGCTCCTCAGGTCCAGCAACAAGGGTGACATTTCCACAAAAGAGTTCAGAAAAGCACCACGTTTAGAGCTTCTCTGCATCGTTTCATGTTTTTCCTTTTCTTTAGGGCTAATTTTAGGCAGTAAAGCCCAGACAGGCGTCGCGCAATACGAGGCGGTGGAGCTGCTTTTCTGTCTCAGCTTCCTGCTGGTGCTCTCCCAACACCGTCCGCTCTACAGGGACCTGCTGACGCACCTACACAAACGTTTGTATCCACCGAGAATCCTTTTCAAGAAAACAATTAGAATGTTTTAGCGCTGGCGTGAGGAAGAGTTTCGATCAGGGCCGAAAAATCCAACCCGACCCGATTACAGGCCCGAACCCGAAACAACCCGAAATGCTATTTGTAGCTTATGTGGAAATCTGTGGCAACAGTTGAGTCCTTTATGATTGACTGAGACCGATAATTTCAGTCACGAGTGTCCTATTAAAAGTAAAAACAAACACAACCCCGGAAACAATCAAACAAGATGTTTTACATTTTCATAGAGCACTTCTCCTCAAAATGATACATAATAAAATATTTTAATAGAGTTGGACTGTTTAGTAGTTACCAGCTGACAAAGATAAATCTGAACAACTTAAATCAAACTTCACAATTGAGAAAACTGGCTTTTTACATTTGTTATTTTTCATACAATACATTTTTCCCCCCTCATTTCTCCCATCTTGAACATTGCAGTGTTTTCCTTCCAGGTGTCAACAAACAATAGTTTAATATTTATCAAAACAGGTCAACATTTAACCGGGTTAGAATGAATACATTTGTAGATTAATACCTACATGTTTTGAAGTAACTTTGAGCTTCATCATATCACATGATGTCATTTCCAAATTAGCATATTTTAATACTTCTTTGTAGTTGCTACCACACTCATAAAATCCTGACTGTTTTCTCTCTTGTTGGCTAACAAAGTCTTCACTTGGATAAGTAAAGACTGTTTTTTCCTCTTCATGTGTGTGATGGTCTAAGAGGAAAATTAGAGCGTAGCAGCATCTTCTCTCGTCTTTGCTTGATTCTCATAAATAATAAATCACTGTTTTATTTCTTAATTCTGAGGATTTGAGTTTGAACCTCGAGTTAATATTCTTACTTGCATTGCAAAGCTAAAGGTGGTTTAATAAAGTTAGAAGTGGACCTATGTTGGCAAAATGTGAGTTCTTACAACAACTTCTCGCATGCTAACATGCTCATTTCCAAACAAAGGCACCACTACGACTCAACATAATGTGCCTTTTGCCCCATTCTGTGATAAATATATTGCCTTAGAACCTTGCTTCTGATGTTGTTGCCAAAGAAAGTTCTTCATAAATTGCATGAAAGCAATTATTGTCGTTCAAAGAAAACCCATTGTTGGAAGTGTGAACTACTTTACGGGTGTTATTCCAAGGTAAAATATCAACATACGACTTTCCATAAAAACCTGAGTTGCTTTTTATTGCCAGCTTTTATCTGATTTTACTAGATGGATTGTTTAATTGTATTGTTATAGAGTTGAAAATATGCTGCCTCATCCTCCGCTTCCCTCTTCCTGACAGGGAAGCGGAGCCTGGAGCGACGGCTGGGGGATTTGAGGCTGGCCCGGGTTCGTCAGGCCTCAAACCCCAGGACCCCCGTGGACTTCTTGGCCATCCGAATGTAATCCGTGGCCCTCTGCGGGAACTTTTTCACCCTGTGCGCAGTTCCAGCACAAACCCACTGACCCTGCGTGCGCTTTTGCAGAGGGTTTTTCTCCTTTTTTTTGTGTGTGTTTTTGGGAACTGACAGGCTAACGCTTCCATCTCTTCCCCGTTATCCGACCCGGTTGACGGCTGAGGACAGAGGTTGTGGTTTCCCCAAATATCATTGGATATAAACTTCAAAACAAAAACCAGGATTTCTTCCGGTGTTGACAGAGAGGACCTCTAGGAACTGGTGTTTTACTGTCACCAGGCCAAAGAATTGACGTTTTTATTCCAAACGCATGGAGAAAAACAGTCTTTAGTCATATGGTGTAAAACATTTAGGAGATAACCCTGCGTCATAAACATGCCCTATTAAACAACAGGCTGTCTTGTAAAGATGAATACTTAAACATCAGCCAGCTACTAACTATTGCAGTCAAGGTTTTATCCTTCATCTGTTTGTGGACTTTGGTTTAATCGTGTTGGTGGTAGTTTTCCACAAGCATGACGTCACTGAAGAAAATATTCAAATACAGTACGCTAACAACAACAGGATGTTCTTTCTACTTGTTTGTTTTTTAGGCCAATTTCATAAACTTATCCAAATCCTTTTTTAAAAAAAAATATAAAGTTCTGACATTTGGAATTATAGAATCTTTGAAATCTCTTTTTCAAGTAAAATAATTGACTCTCTGTTTCAGAACATATCACACAAACATGCAAAGAGTATGAAGGAATTCACTGTTAAATAAAAGTTTTTCAAGTGTAAAAGTTGATTGAAGTGTCGAAATATTCTTTTTGTCTTATTTTACACGTCCAGTTCAAATGTATCTTCATAATCAAACTAATGGCAGTGTTATGGGCGACTTCGGATGGAAACGCTGTTCATCCATTAAATGCTTCATTTCTGTTGTTCCTGTGCTTCAAAGGCCTCGTTGTCGTACGGGTTTGGGGAAAAATTGTTAGAAGACTTCTTGATCCCGCAGCAGATCAGGTTGTAGACGGCCACCACGGGGATAGAAAGGACGGGGACGACGATGAGGAGGACGATTATGGCAAACACCCACGTTGGGTATTCTTTCGGCTCGGTTTGAGGAAATTTTTCCTAAGGAAAAAGAAATACAAAAGCTCAGGAAAATGAAGTAGGCCTGTACTCTGAAAATAAACAACGGCACAATGCGGTGAAGGAACGTTCAATTTGAATGAACCATATTTCTATCTTTTGGATTATAATTAATACCCTTAACCCATTGGTTGGGCTGAAATACAAATGTGACGGAGCAAAAATATTGCAATTTTTTTTTCTAAGCTAACTTTCTTCTTAACGTAGGACATGTTGCTCAGGTAAAACAGTCTGATAAGTATAATATTACCTTTCGTGGCTGTACATTAGTAAGCAAATGTTTCTATTGGGTTGCTCAAGGGTTTTTTTCTGCTATTATCAACAATAACTTGCTACGTTGAGTCTGTTGAGGGGTTTTCTGTGTCTATATGCCATATTAAAGTCATTAAATAAAAACTTTCAACTATGACGTAATGCAAAAGTTTACTTGCTTACATAATCTGGGTTCCATGCAGGATATGTTGGATATGCATTAGCCTCGAGAGCCACGTAAGCAACTAAAACCACCAGCAGCATCAATGGACTAATCACCATCCAGCATGCCTTCCAGTAGATGTTGGGCCTCCTCCCGGTCATGAAGTAAATGTCTTCACTAAACCTGTCAGAGGAAACAGACCTTCCATTGGTATAATGTTCATCGCAAAGACGCATTGTTGCAATAAAGAAATAATTAACCAAACTCAATTTTTTTTTTCAATTGTGTAGTTGTGCAAGATTGTCGAAGGGACCGTTGGGAATATGGAGAAATCCTTACGTTTTCATTCCGTGGATGTAAGCGACCCCGACAATCTCACAAAATGCGATGATGAGTAGGGGTACAGATCCCACGTAGCTGTTGAAGACCTCCACCCAATAGTTACCAGAACCCAGGGTGAAGATGAGGCCAACCAAAAACGAGATCAAACAGACGATCGCTAGAGAAGTGAGGGAAACGTTAATTCAGAGAAGAAGTTCAGTTCCTCCATGAATCAGACCGGATACAAGCTGAATCACCTGTCAAAACTTCATTGGGAAGCCACTTTGGCACCAGCTTGAGCTCGTGGAGGGGCGCGAGGACTCCCTCTATGTTGCCAAACATGGAGGACAGTCCCAAACTGAAGAGCATAACGAAGAACAATACGGCCCAGACCTGGGACCCGGGCATCTCTAAGACTGCCTCTGTGAATACAATAAAGGCCAGCCCCGTTCCAGAGGCACTCTTGGAGAGAGAGAGATTAAAGTCAGGCAGGAGAAACTGCTTCATCGTGTACAAAAGGAACGTTGAGTCTTTTACAGGACAAGGAGGAACGCAAAAGATCATAGTGTGTGGCGTGATTGAACAAGAGGAGTGCAGAAAACACCAGTACCTGATCAAGAAAGTCCTGTAGATCACAGACCCTTAAGGACAAGGAAGCTATGTCCCCTGGATGTGTCTGATTTAAATTATCAAACCACTGGTTGTAGTTTTCCAGGGTGATGTTTCCTTCTGAGATGTCAAAGTGGTTAGTCAGAGTCAGGATGTTCCTGTAGACCAGATTGGACACGCTATTTCAACAAATTTCACTCCATCGTCCGTAGAAGCACCTACAGACATCCATGCAAACGTACTGTTCTAGACAGGTGTTGAAGCCAGTCCTCGCTTTGAACCCCAGGATGGAAAAAATGGGAATGGATCCATAGAGGGATGTAGCACTGTTTGTTATTCCCACAACAAGGGCATCTCTCTCACAGTCATTCCTAAAAGTCAAGAAGAAGAGATAAAGCGGAGGTCCCTCCCCACCCTTCTGCGTCTCAACGTGATCAGGTGTTTGATGCCTCACCTCTCTGCATTATAGCTGGAGAACGATATTAGACCCCCGAAAGCCAAAGAAAGGGAGAAGAAGATCTGGGTTGCAGCGTCTAACCAGACCTGGGGGTTCTTAAGTATTTCCCACTGCAGTAAGGAGAACAACACATCAATTACATCTGTTTTTTGCTTTGTTTTCTTTCTGTCTAGGATACGAAACGTGTCACGTTGAGAAGCAAACTCACGTCAGGAGTGAAGAGGTACCTCAGCCCGTCGGTCGCTCCTGGCAGAGTGAGGGCTCGGATCAGGAATATGGTCAGAACCAGGTAAGGGAATGTGGCTGTCACATACACGGCCTGAAAAGGTTCGAAACATTTCCATAAGAGATTCTGGTTTTCTTTGAAATCGAAAAGAGTTGTTTATTCATCAGCAGTAAATATGGAACGCTATCGGATGACCTTCAGTCAATCACCATAAATTAATTGTTTCAGGAAACAAAAAAGGTTACATCGGATTTATTAACTGTTTGATTTTACAGTGATCTAAAAACATTATGGATCACTATCTATATCTTGCCAAAATGGTATTTTGCAGGATCTACATTTGAAGCGCTACATTCAACATTGTCGAAGTCCAACGCAACGAGAATGTGAGGTTGAATTATCCTGCATCTCGTTCATTCGTTTGTTGTATACCTGCATTTTTCTCAGTTTTCTTGAGAGAAAAAAAAAGAATAGCGAAAATCACAAATGTAGTTTTCACCCACTTAAAATAAGAGCATGAATGTCTATGACCAGAAGAATTTCTAACGGTGTATAACCAAAACTTCGATGCCGATGTCAAGCATTGCTCAACTGAATGTTCACAAAATATCAGAATAAATCCGAATTTAATCGTATGAAGCAATCAAAGGGAAGCTAACTGCACAGTTAGCCCATTAGCTGATTAGCGAATGACCAAAACTATGAAGGAACAAATTGGTGAAGAGGTGAAAATATCTATTATGTAGTGTGGTAGTACTCCTCTGTTTTTTGCAGAGTGATAACTGTATTTAGTTGAGGAAACAACTCAAGTAACTTGCCTTGCAAGTGGCACACTTACTGTATTTTTCAACCAGAGTTACATTAGCAAGATTAACTCAATTGTTTCCACGAAATGATTGAAAATGTTTGGACAGGTTCTCTAGAATCTCGCAAAACTGTGAAACCTTGACTTTTTTGCGCCATGGTACCAGCCAGCCAGCGGCCCAAGCTGAACCACAGGCTTCGCGCGCTGACCTTTCCCATGGAGTCGATGCCTTTGATGAAGCAGATGTAGATGATGGCCCAGGCTGTGGCCAGACAGATGACCATCCACCACTGCTGCGAGCCGCTGACGTCGATGTCTGTGGTGATGTTCAGCGTCTGGCGGTACCAGAAGTAATTCACCGGAGTGCTCTTCTCACACTCCGAGCTGTAGCCTGTAGGAACACGCCGCACCAATAAGACAATAACTGGGATATTTACGAAAAGAAAAAAACTGCAGGTGATGTTTTACTTAAAACGTCATTTTCCTTAAAGGACAGGTTTAAAAAGAAGCATTTGAATCAATAACTCTTGGACTTCCTATGCTGGCATGTGAACTGCTTTACGACACTGTCAAAAATAATTCCCGCTCAGAGATTGATGGTTAACTCAGCTGTTAAGTGGTAATCCCCAACTTTAGTTTTCAGCTTATACGATCTTCTCAAAGCAGCGCTGTGCCTTCAATTCCCTGGTGAATCATTTTTCTTTTATTATTATTGTTGTTACACTCTTTTCAATAAAATGTATCGAAAGCAGAAACACAACACCAACGTGGATGGGTTTTTTTTTTTTGTTGATGTTGTGTCTTTTCTTCTTCCTCACCTGTTAGGTTTGCATTCAGAGGACACTGGCTCCATGGCAGTGGGTTTTGAAAAGAGTTAAAGAAGTACCAGAGCACCCAGGCCATGATGGTGTTGTAGAACATGGAGACCAGGAATGACACCACCATGGAGGCAATCCCTGAACACAAGGGGGGGAAAAAAAGAGTCAGTCGGAAGGAGTTTTTCCAAAGGAGCCTGAGGAAACAGTGTATCCG